AGAACATTCGATGGATAAGATTATGCCATTTGCATACTAGCGAGGGTAGTATTGTATTAATAAAGTTATTTTATCAGTGGCTCTTCTGGAACCTCCATGGGGGGTAAAGGGTTAATTATACATACTTTAGTTAAAGGAATAAAACAACATGAATGAACAGAAGAGAACAAAACTGTTTGATTATTTTTATAAATGCATACCAAATTTTTTTTATCGCAGATGAATAGCATATCTAGAAAATACTTTTCAATCGATAAGGACCCTTCGAACCGAGTTCTAGTGATTTTCTATGATTGAAGAAGATAAGGATTATAATAAAGAGCATGCCCTTATCATCATATTTTATTCTTTACAGATCCAACAGATGGAAGTTTATCGGTTGCTGAACAAAACAAAACTGCAACGTAAATCATAGCAATAAAATAAATAAGAAGAATGATAATTTTTTTCTTATGTGAATAGTATTGGTCGAGCCTCTAGTGATCGTCGAGCAGCACCGGATCGACCAAATGCACCGAAGAATCGTTCAAGCAGGTATATATTCATTCAACTATGTTTGTTTTCAATATTCGAATAAAATTTCCTTTCAGTGAAAGCGACGATAGTGATGAGGGGTATTGGAATATTATTAAATAACTGTTTTAATCCCCACCTGCTATTTTTCTTATGCATGGTATATCAATTAAGAGTGAGATAGAGAGAGAAACACTTGAACTTGGCCATTTTATCATTTGCATTATTCTAAACTTACAAGCGATTATCTTTTAACTTGTCTCAGATCTGAATTTCTAATCCCTATGTCTAATAGTCAATTGATTTTTGCTTTCTTTCTCGTTTTGGTTTTCATTATTGGTCATTTCAATAATCTGCTTTTTATTTTAAATAGTGTTAATAAATCTCAAGATTTTTCATCGTTTTTCGTTTCAGTAATCCGCAAATGGGTGGAAATACAATTGATGAGCTACTTAATCAGCGTGCTGATAGTGATATTATTAATCAACAGGATTCAACAAATCTAAAGTAAGAAATTCATTGTTTTAGGAAGTGATTGATAACTGATCTAAAGTTCAATAAGATGTATCAAAAACAAACACGACTTTAAATTTCACAGTTTACATATAATAGAAGTTCATTTTTCAATGAAGGCATCTTTAAATAGAAGATATTAGAAAATCGAATACTTGTACAAGTCATATATAAGAAGGAAAAATAGAAGAAAAAATACACATATATGCATATCTTACTGTTTTTCAACGCGTAGTTCCATTCAAAGATAAATTTTTTTTTTCTAGAGAAATCTAAGGGTGAGGAGATATGACAAACAAAAACATTCAAATAAATATTTATTACGCACTTTGCAGCATGGGAATCATCTCTCTGTTGTATAAACTGCATTTTTTCTAAAAGTCCTTATCTTCGAACATAATGTTATGAATTTCTCCTTGTGAGAACGAGAATTCTTGAGATTTTGTTCAGTCTTCTTATAATCAAGTAGTAGTGTGTACGAAGTAGAAATTTAGTTTTGCAAATCACCTCAAGGGAACCGCTTATGAACTCTTTTAAGATTTTTCAAGGCATAATCGAGTTTTTTAACAACGTACGATGCATCTAAAAAAAAACGTCTTTCTTATTCATCGATAGATAAAGTTGCTTAAATAATATTATACGCAACGAGTTGTTTTATGTTTATTCGATTCCCCTAAAACTGAACCTCAATTGATTGATACCCATGAAAAAATGTCTATAATATTTGTAGAACGAATTCTATTGAATTTAGTGCAAGTCCTTCTGAATTAGTAACTCAACAAACAACGGAAGACGATAGTGATCTGGAAGCTGATGCAAATACTTTACCAAACTTAAATGAATTTATTCCCAATGACATACTTCAAGTTTTATATCAAACACGAGAATGGAAATTTCAAACAACAATCAATGAATTAATACATACTCAACGAACGCATTTAAAAAGTTTGAAAATCATGGTAAAATGTTTTCGTGAACCAATGGAAAATTTTCATGGTATGAGTCCAGTTGAGCTTGATTGTATATTTCGAAATCTTGATCAACTTATTAATTTACATAGTAAGAAAAAAACAATATTCAATTTGATTTATTAATTAATAACAAATAAACATATTTATCTTGTAGCTGACTTTAAAAATGCACTTCTTCAACATCGTGAAGAAGCTAAAGATCATGTTGTTCGAAATATTGGTGATTTAATTCTTAAATTTGTACGAGATTTTCGTCTTTGGTTTTTAGAGTAACGAAACATATCGAAAAATATTTTTTCTTGTTTTAGCTTGATGCCGAAAAGGTGATGAATTTGCTCATGCTTGTGCATATTTTATTGAAGACCAAGCACAAGCATTAAAATTAATTAAGAAAAAAGAACAGTCACCTGATTTTGCACAACTAATGCGAGTACGTTTAAATTTTTTGCTCCAAAGAAAATACAATGTATTTGCATAAAATCTTTCTTTTTTTATCTTTAAAGGCTTGTGAAGCTAAACCATTATGTCGTCGTTTAACATTAAAAGATTATTTACCATCTGTCATGACACGTTTTACAAAATATAAATTGTTATTTGAAGCTATGAAAAAATTTGCCTCAGAAGATCCAGTTGAATCAGAAAAATTAAGTCGATGTGCTGAATGTGCTGATAATATCTTAAAATGCATGAATGAAGCACATTTAAAGAAAGAACAAGAAGCATTATTAAAACAAATTAAATCAAATCTCGACGTACAAATACCCAATGATGATAAATTACAAAATCTTCAAGTTAAAATTTAAATAAAAAACAAAATTTATTTTCTTTTTTCTTTTGTTCTTTATTAGGATTGTCTTGGAGCATCAGACAATCGTTTACTTTATTCTGGTACATTAAAATTATTACCTGATTTGACAACACAAAAAACTGAATTTGAATGTTGTCTTTTTACTGACATATTTGTGTTTTTTCAAAAAATACCAATACAAACATTTGAACAACGTGGAATTGAAGAATCATATAAATATGTTCTAAAAGAACATCAACGCGATGCTGCTATGGGACGTCATCAAAGATCACGTACACTGGCAAATCCTAGTAGATATCCAACTGGACAAAATTTTATTTTAACACCAATTATTCGACTTGAACATTTATTAATTAAAAAGAAAGCATGCGGAGGTAATTAACAGTAAATTTAAAATTTTTCATGCTCATACTGTTCTGTGTCAAACCAAAACTCTCGCGATTCAAAATTTATGGATTCGGGTCCAATTAGTATTTCTAATATCTTCAATATAAAAGTGTTTTAATCCATCCTGACAACTACTGAGAAGATACTTTTCTACTGATTTGGATTTAGTCATTAACACACTCTATATATATTTCTCAGTAAAATGTGGACATTAATGATTGTTACTTTCAGAGGAGCATCTGTTGAACCCGATATACTACTGAGCATAATCATTTTTCAATCACTTTAGTTGCGAAAAAGCAGCTCTGATACATATAGGAAAATTTGTGCTTCGTTTTACAGTTATTAGACTCGACCTGTAGTTATATCCGTTGAATTTTGGTAGATTTTACTAAAAGGATCCTAAAAACATAAGTGCTTCAAACAGTGTCTAGTACCTGTAAAAAATATCTTTTGCGATGACTCTTGCGAATTTAAAATCTCTCAGAAAGCATCCAGTAATATTGAGCGTGGCACAATTTTTTTTTCTTCTGCTCTTCGCTAATTATGGCAATACTACTTTGTAAATAGGTTACAAAAGCTGAACTATCAAATGATATAAAAGAACATTTCATTCTGTTAATTCGTCTTCCAAATATAAAACTTACAAAATCGATAATTTTGTACAAGAAAGCACAAGTCGACATGTTGTTAAACAAAAAATCCTTTGCAAGTTTCTCTATGATAAACAATTATGAAGACTTTTGCTAATGATTTGTATAAGTTTCACGGTAATTTAATGATCTAAAGGCATAAGATGAATAAAGTTAATGCATGCGTTGTAAACATTGTTACGTGAGTAATTGAAATCATATTTAATGACAATGCGTGTTAAAAACACATGGACTTTTCCAATTAATTTGAATGTATTCACTTATTCCTTTTCCTCTCATTTCAATACACTATGAAATATAAGCTGCTTTTGTCCACTTAATAATGTCGTGAAAGGAAAAAAAAATTAGTGTTCCTTATGTTGTGCAATTCGTCTTTTTCTCTACCACATGGTCACTGAAGTAGACAGCATTACTCTGTATTAAAACTAGAACATTTGACGTGTCTGATATTACTATTGGTGGCGAATACTCTATTAATAGAATTATTTTATCAGCAGGTCTTGTGCAAGAATTATGAAGGGTAAATGATGTATCAAATATTTAACTATACTTCTGTCTGATAATGATTCATCTTAGGGTGACGTCACGAGACATTCCGGTCGATGATTAATATCATCCTGAACCTATGAACAAATATTCTTCAATTTAAAAAGAAAAGATTTTTGTAGCTGATAGTTTAATTAAATATACAGACTTAGTACACCGATTTAACAATGAGTTTATGAAAATAAAATACATCTAATTGTATAAAATAATGATGGATTTTATATATGTTGCAGAACGTCTGAAACATTCTTTAAAACTAAAAATAACTTTCATCGATCGTTGAAGTTTTCTAATGGATTTCGAGTATGCATTGCATTCGAACTGAATTTGATTATGAAATGTTGTTCACCATAAACAGCTTAAGGGTGTGGGTGTGGGTGTGGGTGTGGGTGTGTGGGTGTGGTTGTTGGTGTGCATTTAGGTGTAATAAAAGTATCTGCTTGTAAGTGAGTGGAAGAATAGGCGCATCCACACGTCATCCATACGCAGATAACCATACCCACCCACATCCATCCATCTACGTCACCCACACATACTGATACGCACACCCTTTCCGAAATATTTGGCTAACAAATTTCTATAGAAAGTGTTTCATTTCCGTGCAATAGAATAATTCTCTGTGCCAAAAATGAACATTTTCTGTTGGCAAATGAAGAAGATCTTCAACAACTGCCCGAAAAAGAAAAGCTCTACACAAGTGTGAATAAAGTAGAGTGTGAAGATGATGATGATATAGCCAACAATCCCACAGAATCCTTGAATAACCTCCCGACATCAGATAGGTCTCCTCATAAACTTAAACTAGAAATCAGTGCAATTGTTATACTACTTTTCAATTTGGATGTTAATTAAGATCTCTTCAATAGAATTCTGCTCATTGTATACCGTCTACAAAATCGAACGATTGTTGATGAAACAGCAAGTGAATCTAACAGAGGAAACCGAGTTCTAATATCGAGAAATACTTTTACATCCTCTGAATCATTTTTCTCGATTAAATTGCGTACACATCAATTTCAAATTTCACTCTCATTGTCGATGACAATCAACGAATCACAAGAACAGGCCTTTGATCGATTAGGACTACTTCTACCATTACCAGTTTTCACTTCATGGCAACTATATGTTGCTTTTGAGGGTGTGGGTG